ATCCTTGAGTAGAGCTCTAGCCAATCTGAGCTCAGCACTAAAATCTGACCAATCCTCACCCTGGAAGCCCTATATAAACCCTGTGTCTGTTCAGCTTGTGGCTGTTCGAGCTACCCGGCTGTCCTCTGCCACTCTGGCAGAGGGCAACCACTCTCCTGGATTCTTCCCTCCCAATAAACCCCTTTAATGAACTTCGGGTGAAAATCTTCTTTTGTGGCAGCGACAGAGCAGAGTCAACCCTGGGCAGAGCACAGCCAGCAGGGCTGTAACATTTTTGCCGGGGAAACCTTCCCTTGGCAGAGCGGAGTTGTTACACTGGGCTCTCCACTCTCCAGGAGCAGAGCTGAACTGTAGCAACTTCCCCCGAGAAACCTCCTGCTGAGAAAAACTGATACAGTAGGCGAACATCCCCAGCTGGAAGACCCTGTCCTGCCGGAGCTGAGCCAATACACTGGTGAAGCCTTTCCCTGCAGCAAGGCTGTAAGCAGCTAAGCTTACTACAACCTGTAGTAGTCCTTGGCTCCCGAGCTCCAGGACACCTTTCCACCTGAGCTGTGTAACACTCAGTATTCTGCGACTCCCGAGTGCCAGAATACCTGACCCATCCCTATCCAACCGAAATGCCTCCATTCTCCATACCTATTTACTATAGTACTTGAAGTAGCCAGAGCAAGATAGCTACTGAAGGAGATCAAGGGGATACAAATTGGAAAGGAAGAAGTCAAAACATCATTATTTGTAGATGAAATTCTAGTATACATTAATGATCCTAAAAATTCCACTGGGGAGCTCCTACAACTGATAAACACTTTCAGCAAAGTAGCTGTATACAAAATTAACTCATAAAAACTAGTAACCCTCCTATGTAGAAATGACAGACTGAGAAAGAAATCAGAGAAACAACACCCTTCACAATAGCCTCAATAACACAAAATACTGTGGGATAACTCTAACCAAGCAACTGAAAGACTTGGTGATAGTAACTTCAAGTCTTTGCTCGTGGATAAGTAAGATTAATATAGTAAAAAAAAATAGCCATCTTACTGAAAGCAATCTGCAGACTAAATGCAATACTCATCAAAATTCCAACACAATTCTTTACAGACCTTGAAAGAACAATACCCAACCTCATATGGGAAAAAAAAGAAACCAGAATAGCTAAAACAATCCCGAACAATACAACAACTTCCAGAGATTTCGCTATTCCTGATTTCAAGCTCTACTAAAGAGCTACAGCAATAAAAAAATAAACCACATGGTATTAGCATAAAAAGACACATTGATCAATGGAATTGAATCAAAGACCCAGACATAAATCCACACATTTATAGACACCTGACTTCTTTTGATAAATATGTTAGTTGGGGTTTCTATTGTTGTAATGAAACACCATGGCCAAAAAGCAAGTTGGGGAGGAAATGGTTTACTAGGCTCTTACTTCATCATTGCTGGTCTTCACTGAAATCAGTACAGGATCCCAGAGGCAGGAGCTGATGCAGAATCCATGGAGGGGGCTGCTTACTGGCTTGTTTCCCATGGCTTTCTCAGCCTGTTTTCTTATAGAACCCAGGACCACCAATCCAGGGAAGGCACCTCCCACCATGGGCTGGGCCCTCCCACATGCAAAGCAACTGAGAAAATGCCTTACATCTGGATCTCATGGCGGCATTTCCTCAGCTGAGGATCCCTCCTCTCTGATGACTCTAGCGTGTCAAGTTGACGCACAAAACCAGCCAGTACAATAAAGCCAAAATTATACAATGGGAAAAAGAAAACATCTCCAACAAATGGTGCTGGTGTAACTAGATGCCTACATGAAGAAGACTGCAAATAGATCCCTATCTATCACCCAGCACAAAACTCAAGAACAAGCGAATCAAAGACCTCAACATAAAACCAGATCCACTGAACCTTACAGAAGAGAAGGTGGAGAACAGCCTTGAACTCATGGCACAGGAGAAAACTTTCCTGAACAGAACATTGCTGTGCTGGCTAGTCTCACGTCATCACACAAACTAGATTTATCTGAGAGGAGGGAACCTCAGTAGGGAAAAGTGCCTCTATAATTTCAGGCTGCATATACCCCTGTAGGGTATTTCATAATTAGTGACTGATGGGGGAGGGCACAGCCCAATGTGGGTGTGGCCATCCCTGGGCTGCTGGTCCTGGGTCCTATAAGAAAGCAGCTGAGCAAGCCACGGGGAGCAAGCCAGTGAGCAGCACCCTCCATGGCCTCTGCCTGCCTCCAGGTTCCTGCACTGCTTGAGTTCCCGTCCTGACTTCCTTCGCTGATGAACAGTGATATGGAAGTGTAAGCCGAATAAACCCTTTCCTCCCCAAGCCAAAGACAGTCACCATGTAGCCGACCGGGAAGACAGGATGCATAGGCATTCTCCAGCAAGAAATACATTAATAGAAATGGGTTAATAATTAAGACAGAACTATCCAATAAGAAGCCCTAGCCATCGGCCACCGGTTTAACACAGCATCCGTGTGTTTATTTGGGGCCAAGAAGGACGGCGGGACCTGGCAGGACAATGCAGGTCTCCAGCAGGTCTTCTGCCTATAGACCATGGCTTCTATGGTTGGGTTTTTATGGGATCCCTGGGTGTGCGAACAAGCGGGCCTCTGTCGTCGAACTGTCTCTTGGGCTCTTTTCCTTCTGTTGGCCTTGTCCAACTCTGACACGTTAGTATTCGTTTCATATTATCGCATTTCATTTTGCTGTTATCCCTTGGAACCCTGTTCCTTTCTAACAAGAGACAGAGGAGGGGTGGGACCAGGAGGGATGTGGGAAGGAACTGGGAGCGGGGAAACCATAATCAGGACACACTGTGAGAAAAAAAATCTGCTCTCAATAAAAGGAATAAAGAAATGAGCCGGGCGGTGGTGGCACAGCCTTTAGTCCCAGCACTCGGGAGGCAGAGGCAGGCGGATCTCTGTGAGTTCGAGGCCAGGATGGTCCATGGAGCGAGTTCCAGGACAGCCTCCAAAACAATACAGAGAAACCCTGTCTCGGAAAAAAAAAAGAGAGAAAGAAAGAAATGATTTCATTTTCTTTTTTTAAGTGTGTGGGGGTAGGAGGATTGTAGGTGCACATAAATGCAGTGCCTATAGGAGCCAGAAGAGGGCATCAGACACCCCTGGAGGTGGAGTCACAGGCAGTCCCCAGGCAGCTAAGCACTCTAGTCACTGAGCCATCTCTCCAGCCCCTGCTTTGTTTCTTAAATAAAGAACCTCTCTCTCCAGGGCCTTGAGAGAGGCTGCCAGTAGCACACCTCTCCTAAGCGCGAGACCCTAAGTCTGGATCCCCAGGAGCGATGATGCAATGCCAGCAACGGAGGGCAGGGGGCGCCTGCGAGCCAACAGCCGTCTGCACCACCCTGCTTGGTGGAATCCAGGCCAATGAGGGCCTGACACTTAAGGTGGCCCTCCCACCCCCACATGCAGACACACGCATGAACTCTCACGAGCACGCACAGAAGAATCGCTCGAGCCCGGGCTGACCTCACGCCCACTGGATACGCTCCTACCCCAGCCTCCCCGGTGCTAGTGTCACAGGTGCACGCCCCACGCCCACTGCGCTTGCTAATCTGAATCCTGTGCCAGTCTGACAGGCAGACATTGGTGCCTGGAAGAGGCCCAGCTCAGCTGCTAGCCGGCCAAGCAGAGCCCGACTGTGCTCAGGACACGAAGCCAACTTCTCACTGGGGCCTCCTGACTACAACGGAGCAGCTAGTTCCTGTAGCAGGACGCTGGCTGGGGAGCACTGGCAAGCAGGCTTCTAACCAAAGGATCCCCATGAAAACATGGGAAAGAGGCTGTGTCAGCCACTAAGCACACAGCCACCAAGTACTGTGCACCCAGCACACTCCCTAGGTTGGGCTGAAACCCGTGGACCTGCTGGCTTTCAGTGTCTGCCACTGGCATCTGGGGTCATGGTGACCCAATCCCGACCCAGCCTCTAGCAAAAGGAAGGAAACGGGAGTGTTCCTAACTGCCCCCTTCCATGCTCTCTGACCCAAGGACCTGAGGAGTAGCTAAGGAGCCTGCCCATCCCCAGAAAGACACACACCTTGTCCTGGGATACAGCGAGGCCTGTCAGCCCTCCTGATGCCTATAGGAGGCTGGCAAGGCACCCTGGGAGCATCCTCAGGCACTTGGCAACATGGTCCACAAAGGGTCTCTGTGTTCTAAAGTAGACCTGGCAGAAGCATCCGAAAGACCAAGGAAGGCCACAGTGGCTATAAGGCCTCCGTCTTGGCCTGTGTACAGAACATCCAGGCCAGGTCTCATCCCCTAAGTCAGTACTAAAACTGAGCAGGCCCAGCACAGTGCACTGGGGAACAGGCAGATGCGGCAGGGCCATCTCACCAGGAGATCTTAGAAATCAACACTCACGGCAGAGACGTTTGGTACAAAGTTTATAACTCACCCTCCCATGAAAAAACAACTTTGAATGTTCAGAACGGCAGACCCAGGGCCCGCTTCCAAAGCCTGGCTGCGCATCTGGTCCGTGCCGGCAGAGTGGAGGCAGTACCGGACGTCGAGCTTGAGGGAGGGGCTGCGGGGCCTCAAGCAGGGATCTTCTGCAGGCTTGAGAACAGAATTCAGACCCAAAGCCACGTGTGACCTTTCAGGCGACCCAGGCTCCGAGGCAGCCCAAGGGTTAGCAGCCTCCTTTCACACTGTGATCCCTGCCCCAAGCCCAGGACAGCTGCCCCACCCAGGCAGACAAGGGGTTCGTCGCCTGCAGGACTGTCAGGGAGGGTGCTGGCTTCATGCACCGTCTCAGATCAGCCTGTTCCTGGGGCCTTGCGGGGATGGCCCTCCTTGAAAAGCCCTTGGTGGAGGGAGACAGCTCTCAGAGCAGGACCTTGTCTTTTGGAGGCCATATGCATATGTTGTTCCTGGGACACACACATGTGCATATGTTGTTCCTGGGACACACACATGTGCACATGTTCCTGGATGGGCCCTGACCACACTCAGGGCCAGCCAGGAACCCAAGACCCTAGTCAACTGACCCTGGGGCAGCTCCAAAGTCAGTAGTGCCTGACCAGGGCCAAGGGGCCAAGACATGCCTGGCCCACAGGCGGCTTCCCAGCTTCCAAAGCAGGAAGAGACTGGGTACTCATAGTGGCTAAGGTCCATCGCCGAGAGTCAGCGTCAGTGACAGACTGGGCTTGCGCTGGGGTTCCTCATCCTCCTGGCAGGGCTGGGGGGGCCGGGATTTGAAGAAGTCTGAGACATAGCGGACCTGCGGGGGAGGGGAAGACAACGAGTAAAGCCAGAGGGAGGAGACCCAAAGAGGGTTGATTGTGAAGTAGATGGGGCCAGCGGTGGGGGGGGGGGGGGCTGGGGACATGGGGGGGGACAGGTCAGCAGGCAGAGGTCACAGGAACACTGGGACCAGGCGGGGCTCACCGTGAGGCAGGCCACCAGGGCTCCTTGCAGGAGGCCGACGAGGACATCACTCCAGTGGTGCTTGTGGTCAGACACTCGGGTGTAGCCCACATAGATTGCGAAGGCCACCAAGAAGAACTGAACGGTGGGCCTCAGCAGCCGCGCCCACTTCCAGCAGAGCCGAGCCTGCACATACAGCTGTCGGGGCGTCAGTCCGAATCAGCCGGGCCCGTGGGCGTCCACACCCTACCCAGCCCAGCACAAGAGTCATAGCCGCCGCCCCCCCACCCCCGCCCGCCCTCGGCGCTCGTCCACAGACCCCACCCCCAACCCCCCGCCCTCGGTGCCTCGTCCACAGACCCCACCCCCAACCCCCCGCCCTCGGTGCTCGTCCACAGACCCCACCCCCACCCCACCCCCGCCCTCGGTGCTCGTCCACAGACCCCATTGTGCAGTGGGGAAGACCAAGGCCCAGGGACGGGGTGCCCGGGTAAGGTCCCCTGGGAAGAAGGTAGACACTCACCGCCAGGAACAACATGCAGTACATGCCAAAGGAGGAGTGCCCGGAGTAAAAGGACAGCCTGGGAGGGAGGGCAGCCGGTCAGCCTGGGGAGCTGGCAGCCACAAAGGGGTGCAGCTCTAAACTACGGGAAGCAGGGCTACAGAGATGGCTCTGCAGTTAAGGCCCAGGCTGCCTTTGCAGAGGATCCAAGTGCAGTTCCCAGGGCCTACACCCTGCTGCTCACAACCTCTGAGGGCACCCCACTCATGTGCCTGTGTGCACGCTAAGTCATCTTTAAGGTCTGCTTATTTTTATTTTTATTTTTTTTAATGTCTGTGGTGTTTTGTTTCTGGCTCTGCCGATGTACCACATGCATGCAGTGCCCGCAAGTGGCCAGAAGGGGGCATCGGAAGTTACAAATGCTGGTGAGCTGCCTTGGGAGGTCTGAGATTCTAACCCAGGTCCTCAGGAAGAGCAGTCAGTGGGCTTAACCGCCGAGCCATCTCTCCATCCTCCTAACTGAGGGGAGGCTCGCACACGGGACACTCCATCAGGGAGCGATCATCTCTTCACTCTCACTCCACCAACTGCAACCCCCTACCTGCTCCCGGAGCAGGCGCGGCCAGCAGGACCACATTGGGGGTGGCAGTCACCCGGTACCGCCACTGTCATCATGGCCACTGTCGTGACAACAGGTGTGAGGTACTGACCATCACCTCATCTTTTAAAGATATCACCACTGCCTCAGAGCTCGAGCAGCAGCCCGGAAGCTATGCTTGGGAGGCTCAGAAGGGCCAGGCACCCTCAGAGCACCCACAGAGTCACTTCATAATCTTCGTAGACAAAATAAGGCTAAAGCTAACTCCACCCCAGCACCCATAAAACACAAGAGAAATGGATGTCCAGTCCTGCTGGCCACAGACCCTCACAACAACACCACTAAATAACGGTGACCACACTGTCCATTCTCCCCTGTAACTCGGTGTTAGACTCCTGTGCATGCAGAGAAAACACGCCCGCACTCACATAGCATGGCTAATAAACAGAAGCTGTCTAAGGACCTGGGGAGATGGTTAGTGAGTAATGTGCCTGCTTTGCAAGCGTGAGAATCTGAGTTCCATCCCTAACACTCACGTAGAAAGTGAGGTGCGTGCACGTGCCTGTGTGTGTGGTGATGCCTGTGTGTCATGCATGCCTGTGTGTGTGGTGATGCCTGTGTGTCATGCATACCTGTGTGTGTGGTGATACCTGTGTGTGGTGCATGCCTGTGTGTGGTGCATGCCTGTGTGTGGTGCATGCCTGTGTGTGGTGCATGCCTGTGTGTGGTGCATGCCTGTGTGTGGTGCATGCCTGTGTGAAATCCAGGAACTGGGGAGCTGAAAGCAGAAGGATCCCTGGATCTTGTTGTCCAGTCTAGAACTGTACAGCTCCAGGTTCAGTGAGAGACCTTGTCTTAAAATACTTGTGGAGAGGGACTGGAGATGTGGCTCTGGGGTTAAGAGCACTTGCTGCCCCTGCAGAGGACCAGGGTTCAGTTCCCAGCACCCACATAGCAGCTGACAACCACTTGGAACTCCAGTTCAAGGGGCTCTCATGACCTCTTCAGACCTCCATGGGCTCCTGCATGAATGTGGTGCACATACATACATGCAGGAAAACATACATACACGTGAATGCACACACGTGGTGGAGAGCAACTGAGGAGGACACTCGCCGTTGGCTGACTATTGGTCCACACTCATATGTGCCCATGCAAACACGCACACATGAGGCAGGAGGAGACACAAGCGCCAAGCTTAGGGGACAGACAATGCCACCAGGGAATACCCAGAGATGAGGTCGTCTGCGAGGACAGAAGGAAGGAACAGAAGCCGAGAAGACATCCTGTGCTGGTCATGAGGACACAAGCCTGTCATCCCAGCACTCCGAGACTGAGGCAGGAAGATGAGAAGTTTGAGGTCATTCTGGGCTACATGGTGAGACCCTGCCTCAAAATCCTAAAACTGCATTGTACATGCGCAGATGCCAGCAGCACCGACAGAGAAAAGGCATTGCAGGGCCTGCTGACTGGTCAGGGCCAGCGGCGGAGACTACAGAGCCGGGGTGTGGTGATGCCTGTGTGGGGCGCACAGGCCATACCAAGCTTGGGGGCTCGGCAGAGCGGGACCAGAAGGGAGACGATGCTGACAGCAAACAGTCTCAGCACACAGGACCCTGAAGAGCACACACCTCAGCACATGCCTCAAGGGTCTGAAGGCGGTCGCCCCACCTCTGCGGGGCGGGCCGCTGCGTCCCAGACAAATGAACCCTGCCCACTTAATTACCTGCCCTGCCAAGGACGCAGGGCACGACACACGGCCACCTTCCCTGCCTGCCTAGCCGACAGGTTTGCTCCATTCGACAGGCTCCAGACTTCCGGTCCCTCAGAGCCCTGCCTGGGCTGTGGCTGGTACCCACCTGGCCTCAGTGACATTGGCAGGGCTGCCCCTGCACACCTCCAGCTGCACATAGCCGGAACAGTTGACCCGGTTCCAGTCGGGGTCACACACAGCCAAGAAGCTGGGTCGCAGACGGCCGATCATGTACTTGGCGAGGTCAGTCAGAGACTGGCTCACAGCGGCCCCGAACAGGAAGGTCCCCAGCACCTTGTAGATGGCGGCCACATAGTTGTTGAAGTCGGAGCGTGAGTAGAGACGCTCTGTGTACACCAGGTAGGCCTCCCCCGACGAGACCTGCCAACGGAACGGTTGCAGAGTACTTCGCAGACACCCGGGCTGGGGAGCTGACCCAGCCCCCACCCACTCGCTTTTCTGCCTTACAAGGACGACAGTTGCTGTGATGATGACCCCGGCCATGAGTCCATGGGTGATTGTGTCTGGACGGTACGGGTACCGGATGGAGTCATCTCCGCAGTAGAACCCTCGTTTGTATGGTGTGTTCACCAAGGTCAGGATGATGAAGGGCAGAGAGGCTGTGGGAAGCCAGGGGAGTTCATGGTTCTCCACAGTGCGAATTCCTACCCACGTGTTACCTGCTCTGCCACGATCCCATTGGAAAACACTCCAGTGCCTTTTTTTTCATTTTACATTCCAACCACAGTTCTCCCTCCCACCTCCCCTCCTCACCTCCCCCCTCCTCCCCTGCCTCCTACCCCAGCCCACGCCCAAGGGCTCCCATGAGGCGTCAACAAACCCCAAGTGTCACCATACAGCCTTCAACCGGCAACTGATGGAACCCAGACCCAGAGATCCGCAACCAAGCAGCAGGCCAAGCTCTGGGAATCCAGTTGAAGGGAGGGAGGAAGGGATATATGAGCAGGGGAGGTCAAGACCATGATGGAGAACTCTACAGAGACAGCTGGACCCAGCTGGTTGAAACTCATGAACTCTGGACTGTAATAGGCCCTTGGCATGTGGGAGACGGTTGTGAAGCGTAGACTAGCTAAGGGGCCTGTGGCGTAGCACCCAGGTACAAACCTGGTACATGAGCTGGCTTGTTGGAGCCCAGTCATTGAGCAGCTCTACCCTGATGCACTGTGGCCTTACTTCAGGCCTCCCTCAAGCTGACTCAGCACCAGCGAGCGGAGCCTACACAGACACAGACACACACACACACCATGCAAGCACAGTGACTCCTGATGAGCCACCCATGGATGGAGTCCCTGTGGCTCTTCACGGCTCCTGTCCCCTGCAGAATCACAAGGCCACCTTAGTGACAGTTAGACTGTCCCATCTGTGTAGGAACACCAACGGGCCTGTTGTGTTTGGGGTGGGGCCCTGGACACTGCTCACTACTGCCTGGAAAGGTAGGTAAGACAGTTGTGAGCTGCCACATGGGTGCTGGGAATTGAACCTGGGTCCCCTAGAAGAGCAGTCAGTGCTTTTTTCTTTTCTTTTTTTTTTTTTTCTTTTTTGGTTTTTCGAGGTAGGGTTTCTCTGTAGCTTTGGAGGCTGTCCTGGAACTCACTTTGTAGACCTCGAACTCACAGAGATCCGCCTGCCTCTGCCTCCCGAGTGCTGGGACTAAAGGTGTGTGCCACCACCGCCCCTCGCAGTCAGTGCTTTTAAGTGCTAAGCCATCTCTCCAGCCCTGAGTCTCTGCTTCTTTTTTTTTTTTTTTTTTTTTTTTTTTTTTGGTTTTTCGAGACAGGGTTTCTTTGTGGCTTTGGAGGCTGTCCTGGAACTCGCTTGGTAGTCCAGGCTGGTCTCGAACTCACAGAGATCCGCCTGCCTCTGCCTCCCTAGTGCTGGGATTAAAGGCGTGCGCCACCAACGCCCGGCTGAGTCTCTGCTTCTTTTCTTTTCTTTTTTCTTGTTTTCCTTCGTTCCCAAGTTCTGAGCCAATGCCAGCTACACACTGGACAAGATGGACCCAGCCCTGGAGGCAGGAAGCTCAGATCAAAGCCCAGAGACACAGACACTCTTGGAAAATAATCTGGTAGTGAAGCCGGAAACAGAGCTGCAACCTGGAGCCTCCAACCAAGGGCAGCTGGGAGAGCCAGTCACAAGAACAGGACAGTGGGTAGCACTTTCTTCCGCAGGCACAGGCACACAGACACCCCAAAGAGGCAAACCTGGGCAATTGCCCGTGAGCAGGTAAGCTGGGTGTGGCGGGTGCGGCCTCCAGGTCCTGAATGCCGGAAGAACACCAGGAGACGAGCCTCCCCTCAGTAGGCAAAGGGAAAATGGAGAGGCCCAGAAAACAGTCCCTGACATGGGCTGAGTCATCACAATTCCCGAGGGTACATGATCCAAGAAGGTGCTAACTAACACCATGAAGCTAAGGGGTGAAGCTAAAAAGGGTGACAGCCGCAGTGTCCCCTGGGAGGGGCCAGGCTTCATGACAGTGAGAGAAGGCTTGAAGGAGAAGAGGTTGGAGGACAAGGGGAGATGGCCATAAAGGAGAAGAGGGGGGAGAGGAGGAGAGGGGGGGGAGAGATGGTCCAGGGGGAAAGAGGGAGAAAGAGGAGGGGAGCCGGTCAGAGAAGAGAGTAAAAAAGGAGGGAAGGGGTGAGAGGAAACGGCGATGAGGTAAGAGGAAATCCCTTGTCTTGTTCATAGGAGGCGGCTACGTAAAAAGGGTCCCGTGATACCATGGGAGACAACTGGATTCAGCCAGTCGTGCTTACTGGACATCTCAGGCAGACCACAGCCACGGGGACAGACCTAGAAGTCCTGAGCGTGGCTGGGCTGCATGGCTGGGCTGCACCGCAGGTGTGGGTCAGGACGCTGACTCCCAGCTGTGTCCCCTCCTCTCCTTTCTCTGCCATGGGCATCTTTAGGGGACGCTGTCCCCACCAACAGGCAAGCCTTCATTCGGACTGGCAGGGCCTCCCTAGCAGCACCCAAAGCCTCTGCTGACTAAGAGGAACAACAGGCTGGCATTGGCCTCCTCCTCCTGCTGCTGAGACTCCGGGTAGCTCCGCCTCTGGGGACCCAGAACTTTCCAAGGAAAAAAATGTAAACTATTTCCAAGTCCTCCAGTACCTGGCACACGGTTAAAGCAACAGACATGTTTTAATAAACCCGTACAGTCAAAAAGGGTGCCCAAGGCTCGGGGATGTCCCACTGGGCCTCCTGGGCTGCCAAAAGGCAAAGCTAAGTAGAGTGTCCTTCCGGGCTATGGAAGGTGGACCGAGAGGGAGATGCAGAATGGGGGAAGACAGACGATACCCTGTCACCGCCTTCGGGGTAGGATCCAGCCACTGTCCCCTGGGCCCCGAACAAACACTTGGCCTTTGTTCGCGCCTTGGGGGGTTCGGAATGCTCCTCCCCGCGGCCCGAACCGGACTGGCAGGTTTGCCTGTGCGAGCCTGGCCGTCCCCGCCTCCCGGGGGCACCGTGCTGGACCTTGGCCACGGGTCACCGGCCTGCAGGGTCCTTGGTGCCGCCCCGCCCGTGTGAGTCACACCACCTCGAGGCACTCGAGCGACTTCCTGCTGCCTGGAGCCCACCCCCCGCAACACACACACACACACTCACACACACACGCACGCACACGCACACCCGCGAACAGACACAGGTAGACAGGCAGCCCGGATCCCGCCAAGAGCCCAGGAGCGATGGCAGGGCGCGCAGAAAGAAGTGGGAAGCGCCGGTCACCATTGTCCGCATCCCGAACGCACTCGGGCAGGAGGCGCGGCGGAGCGTGAACCTGGGAGAGAGTTCCCGCACCCGGGTCCCGAGACTCTTACCGACCAGCACGCACAGCACGTCCAGCAGCACGAAGACCCACCTCCGCTCCATGTCGCCCCCTCCCAGGGACGCCCGCGACCCCCGCTTGTCCCAGCTGTTCCGGAGCGTCCCAGCAGCCCCGGGATCACATGGCCGTGGAAACTGCCCGGCCCAAGGAAAGGGCTGGGCTTGACTAAAGGGCCCGGGCGAGGCGGAGGCGGGCCTGGGGAAAGGCGTGGCACGAAGAGAAAGTGCGGAGGCAGGAGGGACAGGCAGAGGGCGGGGACCCTGAGGGGTGTGTTGCCACCTTGACCCGGGCGTGGAGGGCAGGGGCTTCGGGGCTGGGAGGGGTCTCAGGACAAACAAGTCCCCAGGCAGGCATTCTGGTATCTCCAGCCTGAGTATAGGTCTCCGAAGCTTGACTGGGGTCTCCCGGCTGGAGTCTTCTGGCTGGGAGGGGCTACCAAATCTCTAGGTAGTGCTGGAGGTCACCCAAGTGTCCCCAGCACTTGGGCGGGGTTCTGCAGTTGTAATACAGAGTTGCCGGTAGGGCATTCACCCGGGCAGCACAAAGCTCACACTCACACTCGGAGTTGATCTCCTCAGCCTTTCCAAGCGGGGGCACCTGCACTGGACACCCTGACATCTCTAAAACCAATAGGCATCGCAGCATGGGGTGACGGGGCTTAGGCAGAGACCTGTCTCCCCTCTAAGCTAGCATCTGTAGTCCCTGGCAGAGTAAAAGGTTCCTTGACACTTGGCGGTGGGAGGTTGAGGATCAGGATCATGCCTGTGCTGTGTCCACTCCAGGGACCGACACAGAGAATCTGAGGTTGACCCATGAATGGGCCCCAGCCCACCCTGCCCTGGGGGTGTCCTGGAGCCCCGGGCTGAGGACACTTGAGAGCCAAGGGCATGTGGACTCAGGAAAGGAAGTCCAGGCTCGCAATGACCACTGTGGGCTGTGACCACGTAAAGGTGTAAGAGGCCACCGCATGAAGCCTCTGCTCAAGAGATCACTGCAGCTCCTGAGGCCTCCGCCGCTCTCCCACCACAGATGTTTAAGACTTGAGGACGGGAGGGCAGGAGGAGGACAGTTCCTGGATGGAAGTCCAGAATTCTTGCTGACCTGCTCCTTCAGCATGTCACCTAGGGTAGAGCTGTCCTGGAAAGTCCTGAGAGAACCCAGATGCCTGCTCTTTGATGCTGGGAGGAGGCAGCACCCAGTGACCTGTTCGTGGGTAAAGGAGTCACCCTGAACCCTAGGAGTGTCCTTAAGGTTGGCAGGCAGCACCTTCAACACGCAGCAACCTGCCAACCACCGGGGCTGCACAAGCCCTGTGCAGAAACCTGGTCCAGACCCTCGTCCCCCCACCTGTGCCACAGGCCTGACCCTTTAAAGACAGGCGGCCCTTGGTGAGCTGGGCTCTGATTGACAGGACTCCATCTGAGGACACTGTGAGCAGAGCTCCCCCACTCCAGCATTCCCTCGAACCATCCACCATCTGTCTGGAGCACACGACTCAGGTGTGGCGCATCTCCTGGCCCCTGACAGCTCAGATGAAGGAGAGCATCCTTCCTGCCCGCCCCCTTAACCTATCTTTACCTGTGACCTAACCATAACAAGGTCTCGGCAGGTCAGGGTAACACTGCAATTCTGTAATAAATATGCTAGGGTCCCTTACTGAATGCCTACTGCGTGCTGAGAGGAGAGCCAGAAAAGACGAGGTGACAGAGGAGCCTGGGGCACGGAAAGGGGGGTGGGGCAGGGAGGCTCCTGAGGGAAGGAGGCTGGAAGAGGGTGGGTAGGAGGGGGACTGCAGCGGGAAGGGAGGCAGGCTGGAAGAGGGAGATGCTGGAGAGGAGCCAGTGGGAGAGGGGGCTGCAGAGGTGAGGCTGGAAGAGAATGAGAAGGAAAAGGGATGTGGCTGGAGGGCTAATAGAAGGGAGGACGCTGGAGGAGGAGGGGGAGGAGGGAGGAAGCTAGGGGAGGGTGGGGGGGAGGAAGCTGGAGGAGGGTGAGCAGGGGGGAGGAAGCTGGGGGAGGGTGAGCAGGGGGAGGAGCTGGGGGAGGGGGAGGGGAGGAAGCTGGGAGAGGGGCAGGGGAGGAAGCTGGGGGAGGGTGAGCAGGGGGAGGAAGCTGGGGGAGGGTGAGCAGGGGGAGGATGAGAGAATAGGCTGGAAGCTGAAAGGGTGAGGATGTTGGACTGGCGGAGAGAGAGCTGGGGCCTGAGGAGTGTGAGGAAGGAGGGTGAGGCTCTAGGGGTGGATGGGAAGGGGTTGGAGGAGCGGGAGCCTGGATAAGCAAGCTGTGGGAGAGAGGAACTTCACCATGGACTCTTTCTCCCATCCTTCCCCTCGTGGGAGGATTTGGGTCAGTCGTTAAAACCCTTGGGCAGTATCAGCATTGAAACCTTGTGGAGGTGGCAAAAATTAGGATTAAGGTTAGGATTGGGGTCATGGCTCCTAATCCATTCCCAGCATGACCACACAGTGAGGAACTCCCTAGCAGAATTCTCCCCTGGGACCATGCGGGACCAAGCTGCCTACCCTGTAGAGGGAGCATGGGCTAGGAGCCTGGCCTTCCCCTGGGGCACAGGAGACTTGACTAGTCCTGCTGTCTTGCTAGCTTCCTGTTACCACAGGGCACTGTTGACCCAGGGCAACGGAGCTCAGGGCTAGCTCTGGCCCTGGGGACTCATGGCTACAGAGGCATCAGTGTCTCTGAGGGAATTCTGCGCAGGGCCTGGGGAGTAAGCAGATCTACATGTGCTAGACAGCACCCACATACACACAGCCTTGGCTCCCCATTTCTCTGTCTCAGTGCCTCCCTCGCCACACTCAGGGTCAGGGTCCCACATGATCTGATGCAAGCAAGATGCAGACCAGGGCAGGAAATTTGGGTGCGTCCCTGCAGACAGACCCTGCGGCCCGGGCCCTCTGGGAATGAGCAGTTAGAAATAGGGTCACACTCAGCAGGAAGCACCCTGCAAGCACAGGGCAGCCTGCAGAGTGGGACCCGACTGGTCTGAGGCTGTCCCTGAGCCCTCAGCCACCCGCAGGGCCCAGGCTTGCAGCTCCTGCCCGTTGCCTCGCTGCTCCCCTGCGTGAGCATCAGGAGGCAGCGGCTGGACTATGCACAGACCACCAGCATGCGGGGACCAGGGATGGCTGAGGGGGCACAAGTGTACTAGCAACAGTGGATAGGGGAGCAGCACAGCTGTCAGACACAGGACACGTGTGAGCTCTTGCTTCAGTTCCCACACCTCCTCCTCAGACACGGCTACCTCCTTCCTGGCTGCTCAGCACCACACTGAGGGGCCGGCAAGGGGCTCCACGGCATATGGATGAGGGTTGAATCTACTGAGGTAGAGATACCTTGATGGCCCTGGCATGAATGATAGGTGTCTCTCTGGTGGTCAGAGCTCCGCAAAGGCAGAGCTCCACACCCACCCCTGCCCTCAGTACGCCCCCCCCCCCCCGTCCCCGGTATGAGTGTGTCTCTGGAAATCTACACGGAGGCTCTACACATGCCCCTCAAGTCACTCCCGTCACACCTCATGCCAGTCACAAGGCCTGGATCCGGGCAATGCCAGTCTCTGATGACTGCCTGGGCGGGGCTGCCGAATGAAGGGAACAAAAAGACAAAGCCCAGAGGGTCTGCAAGGTAATAAGCCGTTATCAGCAGAATCGGAATTCTTGGTAATGTGGAGCACAATGCAGTGTGTAGCTTGTCCACCATGGGAGTCTGAGTGGCCGAATTTTTCCTGGTGACCCCATCAAGGAGCTATAGGCTGAGAGACTGAGGACCACTGAGATGTGAACAGAAGTTTGGGACAACGGAGTCAGGCCTGGGCCCATCATATCCCAGAGCTCTGACCAAGCCAGAAAGCCTGAGGCTCAGGGCAGTAGCAGGCCCAGACCCTCCAGCACCGGGAGCCTCTCACCCTCCCCCAAGGCTTTCTCCCCCAAGGCTGACTCAAGAAGTCCTATCCCAGCCCTCTCAAGCCAACATCCACCTGCTCCGTCCAGCACAGACTCCCACACTTGTACACAAAAGCCTTCATCCCAGTGCAAAGAAGCCTGGTCCTGAGGGATGCTCTGGCCTGAGGCCTGGGCTGAGTGCAGGGACAGCGCTGGTAGGAACGGCCTGCAACCATTTGAATTCATGAGTGTGGCCTGGCATCTGCCCCAGCTGCAGATGGCCAGGGCCGGTGACCCCGCTCTGCTCCCTAAGTCTTCAGTGCCCCTTACACAGCAGACACAGATGCTGACCAGCAAGCATCGAAGTCACCAGTCAGCAGGACAGTTCAGGGTGGCTCCCCCCGATTCTAGCCCACCTTGTGTCCCAGCCTAGACTGGTTCCCTAACACACTTCTGCAGCAGCCCAGGACCCTCCCAGGCTCCCTACAACTTCTCTGGATTTCTAAACCTCTTGGCCTAGGAGAGTGTTCTGTAGCTGGGCCCATGCTCCCCAAAACCACACAGAGCATGCCACAGGCATAGCAACCGCTCCAATCTGCTCTGTCCCTGCACAAAGAGAATCCCATCTCACTGTGGCCAGGAGACCCAAGACCTGTTGGCAGGGCTAGAAAGACAGTCTTCCACAGAGAAGGGCCACAGGGCTGCCAGCCACAAACCAGGCAGCGCAGGACAGACATGTTCCCACCAGCCTCCCAAGATTTACTTGGCTACACCACATTTAAGACTCATGTCCTCCACAAGAAAACTCAGTTTATCAACTCACCAGAGCTCCTAGGGACCCACAGGGACTGAACCAGGGCACCCGCATGGGTCTGCCCTAGGTTCTGCTTGTTAGGGTTGTGTAGTTTTGTCTTCCTGTGAGACTCCTAACAATGGAAGTGAGGCTGTCTCTAACTCCGTTGCCTACTTTTGGGACCCTTTTCCTCCCTCTGGGTTGCTTCATCCAGCCTTCATGAGGGTATATGCCTAGTCTTTTGTTTTGTTTTTTTTTTTTTTGGAGACAGGGTTTCTCTGTGACTTTGGAGGCTGTCCTGGAACTCACTTTGTAGACCAGGCTGGCCTCGAACTCACAGAGATCAGCCTGCCTCTGCCTCCTGAGTGCTGGGATTAAAGGCGTGTGCCACCAACGCCCGGCTGCCTAGTCTTATTGTAACTTGATATGCCATGTTTGGTTAATATTAGGTGGCTTGTC